GCTGCTTCCAGGCACAGGGGAGGAGGAGGAGGTGGGGAAGGGATGACCTGACCTATGTTTTTTCAGAGCTCTTCTCTTCTTCCTCCCTCCTTCTTCCCCTTCTTCCCCCCCCCCCCCCCCCCCCCCCCGGCATGTGGCTGGAAGCAACCTGTCCTTTCCTGCCCGCACAGTGCCGAAAGGCAGCTAACATCTCCAGGCTGCTGTTGGCCACCTACATAACCCAGCTGCCCCCGGCTATAGTGCAGGCAGGAAGGGGTTAAGCCCTAAGGTTGCATTGTGCACCAGGGCCCAGGGAACCTGACTGCAGGGGCTTCAGCAAACTCGGCCAGAGAGGTGGCTTAGTAGAGGAGGGTGCCCAGGGGATGGAGCAGCACTGTGCTTCCTCGAGGCAGGACCCTGGGGGCGGGGGTGAAGAGGGTGCTAAGCCCCTTCCCCAGGGGCTGCTGTGGAGCCTGCAGATTCGGGGCAGGAACAGTCTGGAAATCACTCACCGACCACCACTCCAGTGCTTAGCGGAGGGGCGGAGAGGCTTCCCCGTGCCAGCGCTGTGCGGGGCTTTGGCACATGCGCCCGGGCTGGAGGGTTTGGGGCTTTCCTGGGGCGCCAGCCCAGCCATAGGGGAAGGAAGGAGCCTGCCCGCCAGGTTGTTGATGAGCTGAGTGCTTTAACCACGGGCTGGTTCTCTGCACAGCGCTGGGGCGGGACATGCCCTGCCGGGTGGGATATGGAGGAGCAGCAGGATTAAGGGGGTGAAGGGGCAAAGCAGGGAGAGGAAAGCGAGAGGGGGAACACATAAAGGGCCGACGGGTGGGCAGGAGAGGCGACACATAACTGGCCACCATCTGGTGCCTGCCCGCATTCACCAGCCACCGCAGCGCGCAGCCAGCACCAGCCGGAAATGGGACGTGGGGCAGGGCCCTGCTGGCCAAGAGCCAGCACGCAGCGGACCAGCAGGGGTGGCGGCCAACCCCACGCGCTGCATCTTTGCCCCGCCACCAGCCTTGCACGCCCACCCCCATTGTCAGCCACTGGAGCCCCCCTCACTGCTAGTGGGTGGGCGGCTGGTGATCAGGGATCCAGCCAGCAGCGGGACCCACCAATATTGGTGGGGGTGGGACAACAGAAAATATGGGACAATTTGCCCATTTTTAAGAAAAAGTCCGGACATCTGCAGGAGGGCTTAAATACAGGACTGTCCCTTTAAAAACGGGACATCTGGTCACCCTGGCTTGAAGTGGTTTCCATTATATACAGGATGTACAGTTTTGGTTCAATAACTTTCAGCACCCCCACTATACAAATTGTTCCAGCATCCTTGTCTGTAAGTAGTAAAAATTTGCTAAGTAAAAGGCATAGGGACTATTACTAGATATAGTATGAGAGACGCTTTTTTACTGTATATTTAACGGTACTATGATTGGGTGTGTTTCCAGTTTCCATATGGTAATAGCCAATAATTTGATAGTTTCTTCTAGATTCCTTTCATCCTAATGAAGCACTAAAGAATGTAAAATCTGCTGGCAGGTCTAGTGTCTGCAGTGGAGTAATTAAGGAGAGTGCTCTCGGTTAAAATGACCAGAGAGCTCTGAGACTAATTGCAAGGAGTGACAGAACCGAGAAGTTTTATTGCTGCAGTTTCCTGAATAATGTTGAACAGTAGCTGCATCAGCAGATTTCAATTACCGCTCCAGTCTCCTGGTGTCATTCTTGTTGGCATCAGAGTTACCTATTGATCCTTTTATTTATAGAAGGCTTTTTTGCATTGTTGGGCTGCAGTGGTATAGTTTCTTGTTGAGAATATAGGGGCTTATAGAAGAAGAGAACTTTATTTGCAGAGAAATTTGACAAAAGACTGCAGAGCTTTATACAGAAATGAGGACTGGTGAAAAAATAATCTAGACTACGTTTCAACTATAGCTAACCCCAAAAGAGACAGTACAATTCCTCTAGCCAGCTTTGCAGCACAGTTTTTGCAATTTTACTGGTGTGAAAAAGCTCACAGGAAAAGAGCAAAGAGAAACCCAGAAATAATAATAATAATAATAATAATAATAATAATAAAAAAATTCTCCCCACGGTAGTGAGATAACCCATGTTGCTTTTTTTTTTTTTTTAAATCCTCTGCATATTCTTTTTTATGTGATGGAAGAGTTTTGTTGGAAAATATACCTCAAACATGAACAGTAGTGTCACTTATTGAGGTCTTGTCAACAGTTAGCATGGCCTTGCAGGGCACGTTTCTTCAAAGGTCAGGGGAGGTCAAATGATACATGTTTCACTTGTTTGAAATGAAATGTCACTTCAGTTAGTAAATTTGGAATTGAACTTTTATATTTACAGGAGGAACTCTTGACACAGAGATTATCTGTGTAGGGAAATTTACCAGCACAACTATGCTGCTATAACTATAGCAGTATAGTTATACTGGTGTAACTTCCCATGTGGACACACTTACTCAGGAATAAAAATGCCCTTTTCTGGTTTCGCTTATGTTGCTTTGGCAGCAGTACATGACATACTGGTATGTATATTCCAGTAAATTTCCCCTTATATACAAACCTTAGTGTGTAGCGGCCACTACTCGCCAGCAATTACCATACATTGGTATCTAGGGGTAGTTAATGGTAAACATTGATTTATTTTTTCCAGTGGCCTCTACTGTTGTTGTTTTTCCTAATTCTGCATAAGTGTGGAATGTACAAATATGCTTGTTGACTCCTTACATGTGTGGGTATGTCTTCAATCTAGAGCAAATACGTTTTTAGAGATTCCAGCGTGCTATCCAGAGTAAGCAGATTTGAGTACTGCTCATTTCTGTCCTCAGTATGACATTTCTCATAATGCAGGCTAATCACCACAAAAACAGGAAGCTGCAAGAATGAAAACTATAAAAGGTGCCTATAACTTAAATAATGTGTCCAGTGTATTCTGTTCTCAAACCACTTACTTGGAGGATCTGTTTTTAAAAAAAAAAAAAAAAAAAACCTGAACATTTCAGTGTAAGATTGTCAAAACTAAAGTTTCATTCAACTTCAGTTGCCTAATTCCAGTCACTAACTTCTTTTATGGCTAAGTGCACAGAGACTGTGTATCATGTTAACAATCATGTCCTTTTCTTTGCTTTGAGCAGTTTTACTCTGGGCACCGATCTCCTCACATTCCATATAGGTTATTGCACCTGGTATGGACGCATGCACGGCATTTAGCAGGGTACGAGCAACAGGATGCACACGAGTTCCTCATTGCTGCATTAGATGTGCTACACAGACACTGCAAAGGTAAGGCTTGTACTGGCATGTCAATGAACAAGGAATAGTGAATCAAAAAAAGTTAGAGATCTCTTCTTAAGTGGGGTAAACGGTCTTCCAGCACAGTATTCTCCCTATTTAGCAAGGTTTTTTTTAAATGTGTTTTTGCGTTTCTCTCATACATCTATCAAATAGACTTTTTTCCTCCTGCCAAAATACCCACATTTAGAGAGAGAGCGAGCACATATTGGTTTGATCACGAGCTTGCCCTTTTCTTATTGGTTATGTGAGTCAGTATCTTGTAATTTAAATTGCCATCCAAATTCTATTTATACTTGAGGTATTTTAAACTCTTATTCAATGCATCAATAAGGTACTGACTAAACACACAAAAGGAGGCAAAGTAAGTGTCCAAGACTGTTTTGCTTAAATATTATAGTACTGTGATACACAACATTTTAACAGACTATGAATGGAAGACCGAATGGAACCCTTACCTCAAAATCCATTCAGTGTTGAAGTGTTCATTAGCGCATTTTTAAAGATGAACTAACAAGATTTTAAGAAAGGTTTAAGATACAAAATCTGTGAACTGAAGAGAATATACTGTATATGTAACCTTGTTTGTCTGACCCACAGTTAGCTAAACTAGTTATTTGATGTGCATAAAGGGAATTGATACTCCATAAGTCTAAATTTATTGTCTTGTCACTCATTTGATTTAGATACGAGGTGTTATTGCACTTAAAACAATCTGCTGCTTTAAATGTTAGATGCTGTTGTTTTTGAAGTTGTAGAGCACTGTAGGCGTACACAGTACTTTTACAAAACACCTCAAATGAGTTTTGAGGTTTACAAGAGGAGGACTATCAGAGGGAAGAATACCACTGCTTCCCTGAAATGTCTTGATGTCTGGCTTTTATCTTTGAAATACCCTTGTACATTATGGAATGCAAGTTTGAATATACTGGGTAATTACAATGAATGTATTTGTTGAGATTAATAATAGACAAGGTATCTTTCCAAAGAGAGGGAGTGGGTGTCTGTGTATGTAAGTAATAGATTCTATCTGGACTTTGGCCTCATTTTCTGCTGATCCTGAAGAAGCAGTCAGTAAACTTGAACACTTTTCTTTTGGACTTTTTAAAGTCTCGGAATCATTGATCTTACAAATCTTGATGCTTCTTCATCTGTTAGCTATGAGCCACTTCATATTTCTTGGGCTTTTATTGACAAGTCTAAGTGAGAATGGTAACTTTCTCCCTGAAACTGTAATGAGAAAGCTTGCAGCTGCCAGCAAAGGTCCCTATACTCTTTTGAAGTTTAATATTAAAGTATCTGAAAATATTTTGTCAACTGAGAGTCAAGTAGTAGTTTTAGGTAACGTACCTATGTGATAAAGCTTACGGAACTAACTCTAGAATGAGCCTTCCCCAAGATTCCCCCACCACTGCTAAAACCTCTGGATCAATTCAGCCCATCACAGAAGCTTTTCTACTCTTCTCCACCCACCCACTCTGCCAGAAATTTATTCAAGCCAAGGGTGTTTTACACCACAGGCCTAGGAGAAAGTTTTCCCTTTCCAACCAAGCAGTGAACTACAGTGGCTGCATAGCTCTGTTAAAATACTCAGTGGTAACAGAGGACATTCAAATTGTCATTAGGCTTCAGAGCTATTTCATTCAGATGAATGTGGGAGCATTTCACATCTCTCGAGCTTTTTCAAGCTGTCAGTAAGGTTCCAACTATACTATATAGTTTACCATGTTGTCCAATGCTAGCTTTAGATCAGTGCTGTGCAACAGTTACACCAAGGTTTGATTACATCCATGCAGGTAAATCAAACTGTATTATAATACTGTAAATGGTGAAGTGTAGATACCACGACCATGACATCTATGCATTCAGAAGGTTTTTAAAGCTCAATTTCTGAAGAAACGGAGGCATCCTTAGGGGATGATGTAGGTTTGCAGACTGCGTCGTTGCGAGGTAAATGGTACAGTCAGATAGTTATTGAACTGTTTGATTCCTGCACAAACCAGGAGGCTGGTATGGACACACTTTAAACTGTTTCAGGAGGAAATGGGTTGTTTGGCTATATAATGTGAAAACCGTCCTGTTACATATATTTATGTACTCATAAGATACTGCTGCTAGTGAGATTATGCATACTAATGCTGCACTAATCAGATATTCCTCCTGTGCCAGTAGTGTAAATTCAGATTGGATAGACAGAGCTTTTGAGGCTTGCAGTTCCGTAGCAATCTACCTCAAATATTACCATCAAAATATTTTGAGTGTAGAGTCACAAACACTACTTCTTTGTTCAGGGCCCCTGCTGCTGGGCATCACTCTGTCACTACTGACCATCAATTTGGAATCCCCCAAATTTCATGGTGAGTTGATGCCGAAAACTGCATAATTGCTCAACTACTATAGTGAGGGGTAGTGGAGCTATTTGGTGTAGATTAATCTTTTATCTCTTCCCCATACTCTCTCCCCAGCTTCTTAGAGCACTGTCCACTTCACCCTGAGAACAGAGGGAGGTTTGGAGTATCTTATGTGCACACTCCATTTTGCGCTTGAATAGTAAAACGTAGACCACCAATATTTAGAGGAAGTAAAAATTAAACTTTACAGCACGGTTTCAGACCCAGTATACACCTAAGAAGCTAAAGGTCCGTATCTAGGCTGGCCTGACGGTCTTCAGGAAAATAGTATGTTGAGTGGTGTGGATTTGTTTGGGCCCCAAGCTGGAGTGAGAGGCACTGATTTTGAGTTACTCCTTTTCTTCACTTCAAGTGGAAAGAGGGATCATGGAAGTGTGTAATTAAGGTGGCTAAAAGCTATGTATTCTCAGGCCATGCAGGAGCCTGCCTGACCCCTGACATAAGTCAGAGAAACTCTGAAGCTGGTTTAATTTATGCTCTGTTTCCCATTGTCCCCTAATGCCCTGGGAAACACGGAATAATCGTACACCAGTGCACTCCAGCCATGCTCCTGATTCACCCTCCATGCCAGGGAGCAGGGCTGGTAGAGAGCCTTTATGCCAGCTCTACATTGGCCAGGAAAGGCCTCTAAGCACGGGTATTCTCAGGGGTCTGTTTTTTCCCCACTTTAAAGCCCCTTTCTGCTGCTAGGGTAGCATAAAAGTAACTTAGAGTAACTGAGAATCAGGCCTGCTTGTGTAGCGCCCCGTGCCTTGTACACCATTCCTTTCCAATGGGCCAATCCAAAAAGCAGCATTGACATGTTGGAAAGGGAGCTAGATTGAGCTCTCACCAGCCGAAAGGATGGATTAGCAAAAGAGAGAGAGCCTTTGGGAAGACAAAACTGGTGAATTGTTGATTACTACCCTTCCTTTCCTCTTCTCAAAATGCATACTGCGCTGTCCTTGAAAATAGGTAATCCAGTAGCTTCATGGTGGCACCTGACCCTTACCTGAAGTCTGAATGGTGCATTGCTGTCTTCTGCCTCTAGCTTTAAAAAACCCTTATTTGGGCTCTTAAGCATTTTCAGCCAGATCATGCAGGTTAATAAATGGCAATGTTCTTTGTATCTGCGTTACTAGCCAGGGTAATTTTAATGGTTACGTTATTATGGCGGCATCGTATCTGGGCACTTGCAGATGCTGTAGCTGAGGGCCACTTCCTCCACTTCGCTCACTGTTGAGATTCAGGCTTTGTTCTTTATTGGATCTTATCTCAACAAGACAAAGTGGGTTTAAAGCTCAGACTGCCTTGGGCAGGCAATGAGATCTTGCTCTGTTTTCCCATCTTGCACTTTGCCTGAGGAGTAAACTGGACACGAGGCAGTCCATTGGCATGTATCTTAAGACCATAAATTTCAGACTTGGACCTCTAAATAACCATGTATAACAAATTAATCTGCAGACTTTAAAGTCTTGACCTGAACTGAAGAAGGTACAGAAAATGAGTAGAACAGTTACCTGACCTCTATTGCATACGTTTTTATACAGTTATGCGGTAGACCAGATGTAATGGCATTGTTCACAACTTATCCCAGTATTTGATGTGGGATTCTCTGGGATTTGCAAATCTCTAAACTTGTATTAGAGAAAAGTACAAATGTATAATGCTGCCCTGCCTGAAAATGGTAAAATTAGCTTTAAGGTGACATCAGTCTAATCTCAATGACCCCTTCTTTGAAAGAAATCCACCTAAGAGCTCCCATCCTACAAGCTCCCCTGAAAAATGGAGCTGATGACATCGGAACATTTTTTGTTTCCACCTAGTATGTATCCCAGAAATGGTATGGCAGAACTTAGGATAATTTGTACCTAGTTAGTTTCTCTTTCTTCTTTAGGCCTTGACTGCACTTGAAAGTTCCTTCAGATTAAGGTAGGGTGTGAATTTAAAGCACAGTAGTTAGTCTGGAATAACTCCATGTGTGGATTTGCTAAACCCAGGATAAGAGAGTCCACATGTGGAGTTATGCTGGAACAGTAGAACAGTTATACTGGAATAGCTCCATATGTAGGCCAGCCCTTATGTGCAAGACCACAGTTAAAGGCTGAAATTCAGGCCTATGGAGGTCCCTGTTACAGATGAAAGCCCCCACTGACTGACTTCTTGTTGCAAGGACACCCCCAACCAAGCAGCAAAGAGTAGCACAGGCACAAATTGGTAGCAGCAGATGCATGCCTGAGTCACTAAAAAGGAAAACATACTGAGCTGTAGTATGGCATATAACAAACTGAGCAGATTGAACTATGAACAAAAGCTGGTCCATTACAGTAGTTGCATTTTCAAAATGCAGTAGAATACTGCATACAAAAATTAAATTCAAATAACATTACTGTTTAGACGCTAGCTTTTACAGCCCAGTAATTTTAAAGGGTCATCGTCAAAATTGACAGGTCTGATGTTGAGCCTAAGGTTATACATATTTTCTCCTGATTCTGAAGAACCTATCAGCACCTACCCCCCTGACAAGGTTTGCCACGTAGCTGAGAAGTTTGGATTCTAAGTGACATACAGCAAATCCAGAATTCTGGGTTTGGGGATCAGGGGTGTGCACATTGCACTGTCCTGTCACACATTCTGCCTAACTCTGCCCAGTTCTTGTGAGCAGGTAAGGGAGAGAAATCTGCAAAACTTCTAGTCTTCTTCTAAGTTTCTTATAAATTTCAGTAAGTACTGCTTGCTTGTGAGAATGGAACTTTTCAACAGAGGTATGGAACAAGCATGTGTTCATAGCACATGTCTCCAAAGTTAAGATGGTGGAATTAATTTCTGATGTGTCCCCTTTTTAGTTAAAAATAAAAAATTACGATTGTAAGACAAAGCATCGTGATACCTTTAAAGAAGTGTCAGACTCTGGAGAAATGAACGTGCAAATGCTACTATAATGTTTGCTGATGATTATTTTATGGCCTTTCTATAAACGTATCTAGTATGCATATGAAGGAACATGTAATATACTTAAAGGAACTACTACTTGTGAACTGTAGCCACTCTTTCACCTTTCCAAATTAAGGAAATGATTACACTATTAGACTGATTATAGAATGTTTACATTTAATCTAAACCCAAGCTGTTTAACAATGGGAGGGGGGGGAGGGGACACACCTTTATGATTTAATCAGAGCAATTTGTATATGCATATATTCAAGCAATTGTGGGGTGTGGTGGTTTTTTGTTTTGTTTTTTTAAATAAAAAAAACCTCTTACCTACTTTGGCTGACTTCTTTTATAAGAAATTACTGTTGTACATGGTGTGATTTGTTATGGCTATTGTATAAGCCTGTGAATGTAGAATTAACCGCATGATATGATAAATATACTGAATACAACCTTAACTACAACAGCACAATCAGTTGCAGCTGCTAGTATTCAGATGCATAATATGTTTCCTCTCCCTGCTTCTTCTCAGTTCCTTTATTATAGATAGATAGATACAGATATATATTGACAAGTGCAAGGAGGTGGCAGTATTATTTTTTTCCTTCTTTCCAACCAGATGTCATGGGAAATGATGTGAGTGGTAATGCCCTTCTGTTTAGCTGTGAACAAGCTTGCAAGATACTCTTTTGAGACCCCCTCATCACTGAGCCTAATTGACTTGTGTAATTGAAAAGGGAGTATTCTTATTCTCCTGTGGGCAGAAATGGCTGTCTATTAAAGTATGCAGCAGGGACATTACCTGAGGGCCAATGAAAATCTGTAGAGCCTGTTTCTCTGCTTCTGCCCACTCCAAAACAAGAAAAGGGGAGGAAATGAATTTCAGATGGTGGGATTATAGTGACGTAACTATCTCTACAGTGTCTTTAAAGGGGAATTGAAATGCAGATTTAAAAACGAAGATAAAATATCTTAAATCATTATTAAAATCCATGTGTAGTGTTACAAATTATAAATGGTCTTTTATAAAGGTGAACAGCAAGGTTTTATATTCTTTAAGAATTCATTAGGTTGATTTGACCTTTGAGCATAACTTAAACCTTTTAAAAATCCTGAAGGTTCTAGGTTCAGGATACGTTAACTGAAACCTATATTTTGGAAATCCACATGTTGAAACTCTAATCATAAAATTCCTAAGGTAGGGGCTGAAGCAACTTTCAGCCAAGAGCACTTTGTTCTAAAACTAGACTGTAAATTTACTTGAAAAGTATATACAATATTCTAACTTTTTTTTTAAAAAAAGTTATTTACTTAAGCCATTTGTTTCTCTTTCTTGCAAACGATTCCTGAGTATGTTTTAGTGACCAGAAGTACCTGTAAGGCAAAAAGCTGCAGAATCTTTGAGATCTTCTCCAAGCCATGTAGAATATAATTGACCTAAAAGACCCAGTGTGGCTAAGTAATTCTCATCTATTAACCAGGATGGGCAGGGATGGATCACTTGATGATTACCTGTTCTGTTCATTTCCTCTTGGGCACCTGGCATTGGCCACTGTTGGAAGACAGGATACTGGGCTAGACGGACCTTTGGTCTGACCCCAGTATGGCCATTCTTATGGTCTTATCTCATTTATTCCACATTAGCACAGGTTGGAACTTTTGTTGTCAATCAATTTATATTTTCAACAATTTTCCATAATTTCAGTTTTAAAATCTGTTGCTGATTGTAAACAGTCAAAGCCAAATTAAAGTACCTGAAATGTAACTCTAATTTTTTCTGCTTTTGTGTGCTTTTAGTTTGCTCTTTTGTCTTGGTGATTGAAAATCCCCCCCTTTTTTTTTTTAAGGAGCTCTGTTGATTGAGTGCTAGGCCTCCTTAGTACACCTCTACCCCGATATAACGCTGTTCTCGGGAGCCAAAAAATCTTACCGCGTTATAGGTGAAACCACGTTATATCGAACTTGCTTTGATCTACTGGAATGCACAGCCCCGCCCTCCTGGAGCACTGCTTTACCACATTATATCCGAATTCGTGTTATATCGGGTCGCGTTATATCGTGGTAGAGGTGTATTTCATTTCAGAAACTAAAATATAGTTTAAACCAATTTTTAGTGTTTGCACTTCTTTTTTAACTGGATAGATACTAGGAAACCTGACAAAAACCTAATTCTAGCTGTGCTAGTAGCCTCTGTTATAATAGGATTTTGGAAAAATTTTCAATACTTTACGAAATAGTTACCAGCTGTTGTAAACTGGTTCCACCCATGTGTATGTGTTGTTTCAACAACAAAAACCCTACTGTAGATACAGGAGTAAGCACTTCGCAGACTTCGATTCATCCTCACAACAACCTTGTAAGGTAGAAAAGTAAATGTATTATCCTCATTTTAGTGATGAGGAAACTGAGGCACAGAGGCTAAGAATTGCCCAAAGCTGCAAAAAGAATGTGTATCAGAGCAGAGATTTGTATTTTAGAGTTTTTGGTAATCAGACCTGCATTGTGATTGCTAAACCAAACCTTTATGAATGCTGCATTCAGTTAATGGCATTAGGATCCCAGTCACAAAGCCGATTGCTATGCCTCCGAGGCATACGTTATTGGCAGCAATGCTTAGAAGGTGGGTATGCACTTTCACCTACTGGAAAGCAGAGAAGCTTTAGTCTCTCCATGAATAAGCTTGAAGTAGACATGACTTTACCTTATAGTAAATGCTCTCTGGGAGGCTAGACTATCTTTCATTTTCTTATTGATGAAAACTTCAGAATACAAGGACAGTGTTTATGATGAAAGGATAGGGGTATAGGCATCAGACTGAAGGTTAATGGAGCCTTAACACAACCTTAGTCTTTTGCTCTGGCAAGCTGATTAAGGAAGCACGGTTAAAAATAGCCATTATCTTCATCTCTGCATAACCTGTCGTCTGAATTAATGTAAGAAAATATCAGAGGAGTAGCCGTGTTAGTCTGGATCTGTAAAAAGCAACAAAGAGTCCTGTGGCACCTTATAGACTAACAGATGTATTGGAGCATAAGCTTTCGTGGGTGCGTCTGACGAAGTGGGTATTCACCCACGAAAGCTTATGCTCCAATACATCTGTTAGTCTGTAAGGTGCCACAGGACTTTTTGTAAGAAAATAGCGCACACTTGTGTGCTATACCTGTGTGGAAATCACTGCTGCTACAGCATAGGCTGTCTATTTAACTACGTATGCCACTCAATGGCCCTGTTAGTGGTTTTTCATTAGCCGCTTTGGCAGCACCTTTTAGCTTTGGAACCAACCCTCGTACCTGACAGAGCGAAGCGAATCTCTCTACAAAGCAAGAGTGGGCTTATCTCCGAGTAGAACTGAGATTGGCTGGATGTCCACATTACCTTAAAGCCTCATCTCTGCTGAAACACAAAATTGCATTTAAACTTTTTTCCACAGTATTTTATACTCTACCAGAGGCACGTTCTTGATCCCTTGTTTTTTTAAATATACAGTGAATATGAGATTCCAAACTGCCCATATGAACTGATGGGGCACATGTGAGAATGTATTACAAAGATTTCATTTGCTTTCCTGCAGGTGACGATAATGGGAAGAAGGCCAACAACCCCAACCACTGTAACTGCATCATAGACCAAATCTTCACAGGCGGACTGCAGTCTGATGTCACTTGTCAAGTCTGCCAGTAAGTGTAATTTGGTTAATTCTGCACTCAGACGAGATGGGGCTGATCCAACAGTGCAGTGTCATACTGGGTCTTTTTTCTTGCTCCATATTGTTTAACTACAGCATCGCCTAAACTCAAGCAATTAGAAGGCAAGTGTCATAGATCAAGATGTACTGAAAAATTTGCCTGGAAAAAATATCACAAGTTTATGGGATTTTGCATTTTAGGTTAGAGTTTGATTAGCCTACCAAAATTTGGTTAATTTCAACATTCATAATCAGAAGACTTCCAAGGCAAATTTTCTTTTGATAGGGAATATGCAGGTGTACCAGACTTGAAGTAAGAGAACTCTTGCGTGCAGCCACATTATCATTTTTCTTCAATTCTGAGCCTTAGGTTTTGGAGGGAAAGGTTTCTAGAGGTCTGGCTTTAGGTAAACTTAAATAAGAGAAAATAAAGGTTTACTAGAGTCAGGGGAAGAATTCTTTCTGTTCTATGTTATCGGGCAAGGTGACTTACTTAAAGCCATTTGACATCACTCAGGGAGTTGGAGCTCCACTACGTATTTTTTGGTCTTATCTTGCATTCCCCAAACTATCTACACTATCTTGCAGATGGACTGTTGTACTCTGCTCATTTTAATCAGTTTTTGTACTCAGTTTTCAGGACTGACCTACAGAGATCTTACAGTAGGAATGATTGAGCATCATGGAAAAAAGTGAAATGCCAGTCTTTGTCTTTTGGACCCACAGAGTCCGTATCTGACAATGGTAGCCTAGATGTGGTATCATCACAGCTGATCTCTACTAAGAATAATATTTGATGTCAGAATTTGTAAGAAAGTTAACAAGGAAAGATGGGAGTTAAAGAAAAAGTCAGGCGGCTCAATGCATAAAAATAAGTTTGGCAGCTTGAAATTAGTATCCGTAAATGTTGCGTATTTCTTCTTTTGACCATTTCAAATATTTTGCACTAGTGAAGCTGAATGAAAGTGGGAAGTTGTAAACTAGATTTTTAGTCCAAGAGAGGTGGTATTTAGAGGAAGGAGGAGGCCAGAAGAGCAGATAAAGAGCACAGGCAGAACATTCTTTCATAAACAAAAAAAAGTTAGCATTTGGAAGCAAGAATCACGCACAAATCTGAATGGTAGAAGGAAAGGTTCAAGGGAATGGAGGTTAAAGCTTTCTGAGCAACGTCTCCAATCACCTCTAGCCACTGGGTTTGTCTTCAGATGTCTTGTAGAGAAACATGAGCAGGAATATAATGTACTTTCTGATTCTGGTATGCTCTAAGATCTCAATTTCCAAGTGCCATGGCAGATTGTAGAGTGAACTCTGAAGTTCCAACTAGCACACCATTGAATATCAAGAGTATTTCTGTTCTCTTTTTTTGTCTGAACACAGATAGTGCAACAGTCTAAATAAAAACACCTTAGCACTTTCATCCCAGGATGCAGGCTAGATTCTGCATCTCAGAGGAACCCAACAATTTGGCTCTAAATCACTGAGCTCCATTAAGCTGTAGACTGTAGCAAATGTATATCCTGCATTCAAAACATGCAATACATTTCCTAAAATCTGTGGTTTTCCTTTGTGCTTTTTAAATAAATCTTCAGTAAAGGAATTGGCTGTGTAAATATAGTACTGAGCACAGCTGTTTTGTCAGACATGCTTTATGTAGTCTGAGCACCCTGCAGGGATGAAGTAGAACTGGTTGCCTTTTCCAGTAAATGTCCAGTTTATACCATATAGTAAATCATACATTTTGGACTGTTACTTTTAACTCCTTGGGTCAAATGCTAAACTCCATTCTTTTTCCTAGTGGTGTTTCTACAACGATAGACCCGTTCTGGGACATCAGTTTGGATTTGCCAGGCTCTTCTACACCATTCTGGCCACTGAGCCCGGGGAGTGACGGCAGTGTGGTGAATGGGGAAAGCCATGTATCGGGCACCACCACGCTCACAGACTGCTTGCGAAGGTACAACATATGGCAAACAGAATGTAGATAGGGGAAATAATCTTGCTCCCTTCTGCTGTCCACAAATAAGAAATAATGGCAACTAGCAAAGCAAACTAACAACCTGTTACCACAGCAATATTCCTCAGCCATCTTGTAGTACATAACATGCACTTAAATTTGTTGTGGCTGGTTTTGTTTTTTGTTTTATTTTAATCTTTAACAAAGTGTGACCAAAATCAGTTGCCATGTGATTATGTATTGGTTGTATTCTATGAGAAACGAGTTTGGCTCTCAATCCAGCACCCAGGGCTATGTATGCATATCACAAAAACCTCCGACACAATTGGTACTAAATATCCCCCTTCTTGGTGCTGTCTGCAGAGAAGCCATGGGTTGAATGGGCCATGGAGAGTTATCTGCCCACTCACCTTTAGAGATGTGCTCTCCAGGCCTGGCTGAGGTGCAATGTGAGAGAGCCTACGTTACTCATGCTTGTTATGTGGAAAGAGGACTTCAGTCTCCAGGGCTGTCAGTCCAGCATTTCTTGCCGGTACTAACCTCACTCATAATAAGTGAAAAGAAATTAAATAAGAAAATGTAAAGTTGAGACTGTCCTTCAGACAGACTGTTCTGATTGGCATTGCAGGGTGTTGGAATAGATACTAATCTTGCCTGCTCTGAGCTGTAATACCATGATATGGTTGAGTGAAGGTTAAGGAAGACACCTTAACTCAGAATCTCTTGACTTTGTTGGCTCAAGTTATAAAAAACTGCTACTATTGAGGGTGGGCTACTGTTTTAACATGCAGTAGAAATATATTTTTGAAAATGTCCCGTTGGGCTGACAAGACCAGCATACTCTCATTCACAACTATTATGACAGTTGTTTAAAAACAAAACAGACCTACTGACTTAAACCATTTTGTACAGGGGAAATGATACATCTGGGATAGAACTACATTTGTACTCTGGTTCAGCCTCCTGAGGCTTAAAACAGCTGGACAAGCACCTGAAAAAAAGCTTCACAGCACAGTTAGTTACACATTTAATTTTCATATAGAGCATAATGCATCGTCAAGTGTGATACTTACTCTGCTGTAAGGTAGAGACATGTAAGTGGACACGCCACACACACACGCCATGAGGGGAAAGAGAGAAGCGAATTCATGGAGTTTTCAAAACCGGGGGCAATTTTGAATTGGACATACAGATGGATAGGGAGCCAGCAAAAGTGACTGAAGATTCAGATGCATCTGTTCCGGCTTCCTGGACTAAGAGAGTACTTTTATAGTGCTCCAGAATTCTAAACTCCCTGAAGTTTTAAAAATTGTGGATTCAGTAAAACCAGGGTATTTATTAGTACAACTGTGAGGAGAAGTGATTGTTTGAATAAAGATTTCTGCAAAGGCAAAATCCAGGCAAAGGTGGGTAAATTCTGGTGATGTTCTGGGAATGATGATGAGTAGAATTACCCACCCACCCAAAAAAAAGGCCACTTGGAAGGAAAAATCTTCAGGCTCAAAGATACCACTAAGATTCCTGGTTTTGGTATCAAAGTTGAAGTCACATGGTAAAAGAGGGCTTTTTTGTGCCAAGAAGAGGATTTCATTGAGTAGATAGGCTCTGATCCAGCCAAGAGCTGATAGGCAGATTGAACATCAAAGAATGAGACCAGGAAGATGTACAACTGAGAGGTATCTATATTGAAGTGATGGTACAGGTTGCAGCTGGCCATAAGGAAGAAAATGGGCTGAGCAGAAAAGTGGCAAAGACCAGAAACATGGAGGCACTTCATGGCAGGAGATTATGTGACGTTTCTGACAGAAACAGAGGAACAGCTGGAGGTAGTATTCGAAGGAGAGAAATACAAGTTTCTCGATCAAGACAATCAGGAAGGCTGCGGTTAGTTTTGGAAGCCGCAGTGGCCTCAAGCAGAATGAGAACGGAGTTGGATCGCTGATCAGAAGCAATACCAATAGGCACTTGAATGTGTCAGGTCTGTAGTAGTCTAAAATGCCCAATTTATAGTTTAATATGTATTATTACAAGAAGCTTCAATAACTTTAAGCCCAACATTAGTAGAGAGACTGGAACATGCATACAGCTTGTAAATTTAAATTTAGAAGAAAAACTAGAAGTCAGAAGATTTAATATTGGGATTCCCAGAGCTTGAACATTTTTTGTTTTAGTGTGTTTCTATGAGTGTCTACGCAGTGGCTGAGTGCTTACTTCAAGAACTGTCCCATCCTCTAACAGTTTCCTGCACCCCATTAAGCGGTTATAAAGCACTCCTTTCCACCTGACTTTAGTAACAGGCTGGAAGTTCTTAAAACTTAAATTTTGAAAGCAAATCTTTAGTTGTCAATAATTTGACCTTGAACAGAACTCTGCATCCAAACCTTTCTCTCTCCCTCTAGAGCTCTAACCCCAGCCTGAGAGCTGGAAGGGCATCCTCGGGACTGGCATGTAACTGAGCACAGAACGCATCTGGCTTTGCTTCAGAATTCCCATTTCCACGGTTTTGGTTTTGAAAACAAAAAGTCTGCACAAGCGATCTCAAAATGAGCAATTCTGTTGTGGTGGATGAGCTAATATTCAGTCTCCTTTCTCCGCCACTGATGCTTGCCCAAGTGGAAGCAAATGTAAATGTCCGAGTTGGAAATCTGAAACAGGGCTCTCCTATGTTGGTAGCTTTTTAAATTCTGATTTATCTTGCAAAAAGAAAAAAAAGTATATTTCCTTAGCATCTGCTCTCTGGGTATAATTATCTCAGCACAGGGCTTGTGCTTACCTTGTATAATAGAGCTATAACTAATGACTCTGCTCTGTGCCCAATTTCCTAATCTTTCTATAACACATTATAAATATGCACTGTGCAAAATTGTGCATGGTTTTCAGTGGGTCTTCCACTTTAAGAAATATGTGGAGAAAGGGGCAGCAGGTCACTTCTGGCTTTCCTGAGAGAAGATGTAAGCTTATCTCGCATGCTACTAAGTGGCTACAAGTGGAAATGCAAACTGTTTTCAAGATGCATTGAAAATAATTTGCCTGTATTATGCATCCTTCCACTTCTTAATATTTTTCAGGTTTACAAGGCCAGAACATCTAGGAAGCAGTGCCAAAATCAAATGTAGTGGTTGCCATAGCTACCAGGAATCTACCAAACAACTCACTATGAAGAAATTACCCATTGTGGCCTGTTTTCATCTCAAAGTAAGTTCACAAAGGACAGGTGGATAAAAGAACATAGACTCTGCTCTAGGGGGATGAGTTGGTTTCTGTAGAACTCTCTGCTATCTCTCACTTCACTATAATTAATTTATTGTAACTTAAAGGACAGTAGCTGGCTTGTCCAGTTAGATTTTAGTTTAAGGACATTATCATTGTTTGTATAATGCAGCCTTGCCCATATGTCTCTGGGTGCCTATCAAAATAGACCTTTTTAAAAAAATACTAAAACAAAACAAAACCTGAACCAAACAAAAACAAATCCCTAGTGGCACTTATCCCTCCTGTACAATAGAGCTACTACCCACAAGCCACAAAGAATGAGAGAGAGAATCAAAATACTGTGCACTTCAACTGGAAGGATGCCACAGATGTACTCTGTATTTTGAAGAGAAAACATTCCAAAGTTACAGGGCCACAATGGAGAATCTTCCTGTAACATCCCAACCATTTGTCTCAAGATCATACTGTGGTGGCAGTTAGCACTTCCAACTCACCATTGAGGTCAGATGCTGTGATGGGAGACGGTGTAATAGGTGGTCACTCAGCCCAGCCCTGTACTGTTTATGGCTTTAACTGCAAGTAATATGACCATGCCGTACTGGAAAGCAGGCAGCCAGTGCAGAGCATGGATGTCTTTCTTCTTTGTTTTCCTTAGCAAACTGGAAAGAGTGCCCAGAAGGTGAGACTGCTTCAGGGGCAAGGCAGTGTGGGTGACAATATAGGAAAGAGGTTTTAGTACAATTTAGCATTTATGTAACCGTGGTGATTGAAGGTTTTGGAAAATAAGTGATCTTGGGAAGTCATCTTGTCCTCTCTGGTAAAATTTAAGATGTAACATTTCATGCATCAAAGCACTATACCAATATCTCTCAATTCCAAAAGTTGTTGTAATGATAAATTGTAAGGTATTTAATATAGCTTAACTAATATCAGATTCATCATAAAGGACCTATGTTCTGACAGCGTTAATAATGCAATTAGAAAGATGAATAGAGAATCAAAAGGATATAAGTCGGAGTTTTTGACATCCTGTTCTGTTGCTAGGGAATTGTTATGGCATCGCAAAGGGAGAATAATTAGCTAGGAGTGTAAATAGGACAGGAGTACTGAGAAATGGGAAAAGGGGCCTTCTTTAAATAGAAACTCATTCATCTCATTCTGCTATTTTTTCCTTTCTCCACTTTTATAGAAAGGATGAGGAAAGTATGACGCGTCTCACAAATTCATCTCTCCCTTTAGGAGAAAGGAGACCGATTATTTTCTTTAATTTTACCTTCCATTTGTTCCTTATTTTGATTTAGGATTCGTGTGCACAGACAACTGGCATAACGATGGCAGTCACTTGGGATGATTTCTTGCCTTGTTGATGTTGGTAGATTAAATACACCAGTCAGGTGGCAGAATCCTTAAAGGCATATCTGTCCCCAGTAGCATTTGTCTATCACCAGTTTTGATGCAAATATAAGCTCTTTGGAACAGGGACTGTCATTTGCTGTATGTTTGTATCGTGCCTATCACGCTGGACCTTTCTGTTTGAGGCCACAGTATAAACGTTTATCCTAAACTTATTCCCAATTTATATTATCTCCCTAGATATTCAGTCACCATTCTAAGCAGTATGCTTTGATTTCCCTCTACCCCCGCCCCCCTCGTGAATTAGGATTTCCTAGGGAAAATGTGTTAGCACTTGTATATACTGACCTAATTGGTACCTGAAAGCTACCAGAAAAATACCTAATTTATTCACATCCTCTTGTGGCTGTGTGACAATCTCCCTACTTTCCTTTCATCTCACTTTGCCCAATGTGTAAGACATGTACAAGGAAAGGAAATCAGAGTCTCTTCTCTAAAAGAAACTTCCACTTTCTGTCTTCAGCGGTTTGAACACTCAGCCAAACTGAGGCGAAAGATCACTACGTATGTCTCCTTTCCGCTGGAGTTGGACATGACGCCATTTATGGCTTCCAGGTATGTACAGCATTAAAAATCCCCCAGAGGCTAGGTTAGTCTGGATACCAATCTTGCACACGCATGTTGTGAAGATGGAATATCCTTTGAGTCAGGGCTGTGACACAGTGTATATATAGCAGTGTATATACAGATATACCCATGTAAATATGTCCATGAAAGTTGTGTGCACTGGTTTAACTAAATCCATTTCAAAACCCATTTTAGTAAAACCAATTCAGGTCTTGTGTTTTAAACATGGTCCTATAAAAACTTAGTTTTCTGTTAACACCTGTTTAACTTCAAAGGTAGATAATTAACAAAGACGTCCTTTCTTCAGAATGCTAGAGATCCCACATCCTGTCCTTTCAGCTAAGTACATTCTTCAGCGTAATCAGAGAGGATCCGATTTAACATTCCTAATATTTTTAATGTTACAAAAACGTGCAAAAATCTGCCTTCCTCTTTTTATGTAAAGCTCTCTTTAGCCACTCCTGAGATTAGAGAGTCAAAAAAGTTCAAGCCCAATAAAATACTTTTAACTAGGGTTGTGTCCGCTTTTAGCGATTTTTAGCTAGTAAGCTTCTTCAGACATAGCAAGACTAATTTTTTTTATTCAAATCTCAGTCACAAAAACAAAACCCTTGTGTAAAAATCCTTCCATAAAAGTTCAGTTAGTGACCTGAGATAATAAATTGTTATCAAGTATCATTTCTAATTAAATTATTACTACATAAATCACATCTTAACCAATACCAAAAGCACAAAAATAACACATCTCTTAAATTCAGGATCCGTATTGATACAGTTTTAATAACAATTTCAAAATTATTTACTACAGACAAACGTAGTTATTTCTGCCAAGAAAGAGGGACAGTTCCAAGCCTCCACTAAATTGCCTGTGTGATATCAGAGAAGGTTAGTTTATATCAATACATTCCAGAGTATTTGAGGCTTTCCTGCTATTCTCTGGTGAGTCCTCTGTGGATAAAATAGCTGGGTGCTGATGAAAGGTTTCAGGTATGAAGGAATATAGCCACTATGACATCAGGAAAATTATTTTTCTGCAGCAGGGGGCTCTGTAATCAGAATTTTATCAACCTATGAAACCAGGAAGATAATCCTATTGCTGTAATCAAAAACGCAAAGTAAACTCACAAGTCAAAAGAAGGGCGATTGATCCATAGGAGTTTGAAAGGTTAATGTAATTATATTTTGTTCAGGGTTAAGAACCAAATTAATCTCTCCTTAATCTGTTTTTAAGATTTGGGGATGGGAAGTTGTGATTTAAGCATGTGCGTGTTTGCAGGATTGGGGCCTTAGTTAGGAGGAGAAATCGACTTCCTAGACAGCATCACCGTGAGCACAAATATAGTATCTGTAACACCTTAGTCAGCAATCCTCTTCTGCCACTAAGCACCATTGCACTTGCCCCTGGAGGTAGCATGCAGGCTCTCTGTGCCGTGTGTGACCCACTGCCTCCCTTTGAGAAACCACTGCTTTTAAGTGACTGGATTTTTGTGTGTTTTTGTTGCAGCAAAGAGAGCAGAATGAATGGGCAGTACCAGCAGCCAACGGATAGTCTAAACAATGATAATAAGTAAGTGGTGCCTTCCAGTACTCTCCTATTGTGCAAGGTGGATGACTTTTGCAAGGTGAAGTAGAATCTGTTCTATGTCCTGCAGTGATAAAGCATTGCTATGTTTTACAGAACAGCAAGTCTGCTCTTTGGCAAAATAAAGATCATATTGCGTGTTTACTTAGCGTAGTTGCTAAAAGCTATGAATGGCTGTTGCCTTGCTAGTGTTAACACCAGCAATAGTATAGGGGAGGAATTTAAAAGTCGTTGGTATAGGATGAAAGGGAAGGCTTTTTCTTTAAACACTCCTACGTTTATTGCAACTGAGTGTTGAAACGCTCATTACTGGGGAAGTTCCAGAGGACTGGAAATAAGCAAATTTTGTGCTAATATTAAAAAGGATAAACGGGACAACCCGAGTAGTTATAGTCCTGTCAACCTAACATCAATCCCAGGCAAAAAAATGGAATGGCTGATACAGGACTAGGTTAATAATGTAATTAATGCCAATCAACATAGTTTGATAATATCTATTTTCTATAAACCTAACTTGTTGATTTTTATTGATCATGAGATTAAAAGTTTGGTTGGTAAAAATAATAGTGATGAGCTAATATACTTAGACTTCTGTAAGTCATTTGACTTGGTACCGCGTGCATTTTGATTAAGAAACTAGAACAATACATAGTCAACATGGCACACGTTCAATGGATCATCATTGAGCGGATGTGTTTCTAGTGGGGTCCTGCAGGGATTAATTCCTGGCAGTGCATTATTTAGCATTTTTTATCAGCGACCTGGAAGGAATCATAAAGTCCTCACTGATAAAGTTTGCAGATGACACAAAGATGGGGAAAGTGGTAAATAATAAAGAGGACAGGTCACTAATACAGTGACATGGATTGTTTGGTAAGCTGGGTGCAAACAAACTATATTTTTAATATGGCTAAATGTAAACTGTATATTTAGGAACCGAGAACATAAACCATACTTACACAATGGAGGACTCTATCCCTGGAAGCAATGACTTTGCTAAAAGACTTTGAAAAAGACTTGGGGAGTCTTGGTGGGTAAACAGCTGAACATGAGCACCCAGTGCAATGTTGTGGCCAAAAGGGCTAATACGATCCTTGGATTTATAACTGGGAAATATTGAGTAGGACTAAGGTGATTATATAACCTCTCTATTTGGCACTAGTGCCGATTGCTGCTGGAATGCTGTCCAGCTCTGGTGTCCACAATTCAAGAAAGAGAAGAACCACAAGAATGATTTAAAGGATTAGAAAACCTGCCTTATTGTGATAGACTCAAGGAGCTCTGTCTGTTAAATTTAACAAAGAGAAGGTTAAGCAATGGCTTGATCATAGTCTGTCAATACCTTCATGGGGAACAGAAATTTGATAATGGAGAACTCTTCAATCTAGCAGACAAAGATATAACAAGATCCTGTGGCTAGAAGTTGAAGCTAGACAAATTCAGATCAGAAATAAGGCGCACCTTTTGAACAGCGAGGGTAACTAATTATTGGAACAATTTACCAAGGACTGTACTGGACTCTCCATCATTGGACATTTTTAATTCAAGATTGAATATTTTTCAAAAAAATCTGCTCAAGAGCAAACTGGAATTAATCCAGGAAAGTCCTATGGCCTGTGTTTATACAGGTCACACTAGGTAGGTGATGACAGTGATCCTTTCTGGCTTTATAATCCATGTATCTGTGAATTAATAATATTAATCTACTTGCCCCATCCCCAACCAGTGTTGAGTACTGGTGTTTTAATTACAGAGGTTACATATGGCGTCCATTCTTTATGCACATGTATAGACAGTCACAAGCTTCTACTCCTTTTTCTTTTGATCAAGAGTTCTTTAACTGTTTTTTTCCTCCACCAGGTATTCCTTGTTTGCAGTAGTTAATCACCAAGGAACCTTGGAGAGTGGGCACTATACCAGCTTCATCCGGCAACACAAGGACCAGTGGTTCAAATGTGATGATGCCATCATCACCAAGGCTAGCATTAAGGATGTACTAGACAGTGAAGGGTAGGTTGTGAACAAAAAGGGTACGGGGAGGAAAGAATGGGGGCAGGTTTATCATTAATAAAGGATCCCCTCTGGGTGGGTGAACCTTTATTACTTTCAGTTATCAGATTTTCACCATATAGAACAATTTCTCTCCAGAGTGATCATTTATCAGTGCTTCAGAAAGCTGGTCTAACCTACTGGGTTTTTTTAGACTGGAGAAAAGGGAAGGACAAGGTAGCAGTGCATTGTGCCGCTGTGCAAGATAACTAGTTTCTTGTATGTCCACCCACCTTCTGGCTAATCCAGTAGGCTGCAGTAATATCTGCCTCATCACAGCCTTGCTAGCCACAGGGGGGTGAGTGTGTGATAGGTTGTTACACATGTGGCTTTCATTGTTAAATACATGTATTATGAATTCACATTGTAATAGGGATTGGCGTAATCCCACTGGCCAACCATAACCATATGGACCACCTATTTAAGCTTCATAAGGCACAATTCCATATTATACTAGACTTTCTCCTCTGCGGGCAGTTTATTCAACAGGCTGTATAACACAGTGGTTAGATACATCGCCAAAAAGTACTACTGATATCCACTTCTGAGCGTTTGTTTCTGTTTCATTGATTTCTTTGGGGAAATGGAATTTGATGCATCTAGCCGTGCACATGTATATAGACAGGCTGGCTGTGCATTGTGTAAAAAAGTATTGCCTCTTGTTTTTATTAAGCCTGTTGCCTGTTAATTTCATCGGATGACCCCTGGCTTTTGTATTGTGGGAAAGGGGGAAATAACACTTCTCTATTCACTTTTTCCACACCATTCAAGATTGTATAGACCTCTATCCTATCCCCCCTTAATAATGATTTCAAACTGACAATATCACTTCGATCACTTCCCTCAAACATGCACTGTGGATGCTACATAGAGCAGTATTTTGGCGAGGTTAACATGTTTATCGTTTGAGAAGCATCAGGAATTGGGTTCTTTTTCAAGAAAAAATAATTTAAAATCTGTAATCGCTTCCATTCTGGCATATCAACCATGGGTTTGGTGCTGGAAAGATCAAATCTGTTCTGTTCTAGTTTTTAATTATACCTGACATTTCCTCTGATTGCTACAAGCGCAGACAGTTCGTTTGGAATTTTTAATAAGTTTTCATATTTTCCTTTTCTGCTTTTCAGCCTGGCAATGTGCATCTCTTCTATAATATTTGACTTTTTAGTGTAAATTATTTTAATTTATTCATTTAACAAAAAGGTCAGTAGACCAGATTGGTTTGTTTTCCTTCAGTAGGAAACATGTAGCGTTGCTCCTGGGGCTGGGCGATTTGTGGAGGCAATTACCCAGTCCAAGGGAAGAGAAGGTGGCTTGTATCATTCCGGTGGCATCTCCAGCTGATTAAGAAACAGCATTGACTGACTGTGAAGGGAGTCCTGCCCATTTTTTCCTTGTTCAGATAAATGATGGCTCTGACTGGACTTTCTCCTGTGGAAGGAGAGGAAAGATTCAGGAAACCCTGTGGAGTGGGGAAGTGGAAGATGATAATCATTCTGTAGCACCTCTTAATGTGGAGATATCAAAAGTGCTTTAGAAGTATTTTAATTGGCCTTGCAGCAACCCTGCCAGTATGAAGTGGGTAAGGGATGCACAGGGATCACTTTGCTCCCCACTGAAACGCAGCTGCCTCAAGGATAAAGCTCAGCAGCTGTGCTGTAGTACACAGAAATGCTGCATGGTAGTTTAGGACAAGAGGAGAAGAATTTTAGCCAGTTGAACCTGCCAAGAGGAGTATAGGTAGACATGTCAGATTTGGCTGGGACACAAGGGTTTCCACCCATGCTCTTGTTTAAAAAAATAAAAAAGTGGCATAAGATCTTTAATAACTGTAAGTGGTCGAGACCTTGCTTGTACATCTCATCCGAAAGATGGCATCCTCAACCCAACAGCGCCCCCTACGCTGCTGGGACAGTGGCTCCCGCTACCAACTCAGAGGGAGGCGCGCATCTACAGAATCACCATCACCACTTTTTCCAGCATCTCAGTGTTACGTGGAGGTCTCCCATCCACATAGTAACCTGGTCCAATCCTGTTTAGCTTTCAAGACTTGACACTAGGTTACAGAACTGGGTGGTCAGGCTCCAGGACAGACAGGTAGCGAGCATATTGAGCTACTGATCAAATTCTGTATGCTGATTTTTTTTTTTTTCGTGGTCATCCTATGAAACTAACACACTTCCCTGGAATTGTTCCAGCTTTCAAAGAAAAATAGCACTAATAGTCCTTGTTTTTATCATGGCTGCATTGGTAATTGGGATTTAAAATCTGTAATGTACAGCATAAGGTTAAAGTTGGGTTGTGTCTTCCTTTTTGCAGATATTTGCTGTTCTATCACAAACAGTTCCTGGAATATGAGTAGCCTTATCCAGCAGCTTGTCAGATAAATGAAAGGAAGAAAATAAGCAAGCCTTCTAAAATGACACACAAACCTACCTGAAATGAAAAGACCCATTAAACAACAACTAGCACTGAGCTGTAACAGGACCTACTTGACACTGGCTCACAGGCTGGCGGAGTAAGAAATGAACAATGTCCAACGTGTATGCAGTCCCGCAAGGACAGAAAGGGGGGAAAAAAAGAGGCTACAGTCAGTCACTTAAGAGCGGAAATATAAAATGAGAGGAATGCTCTGGGTGGGGGAAATGGGAGCAGAGGAGTCCGGGCACTGGTACATCTCCTATGTTCCTCCGAAAAGTGTGTGGGAAGGCAAGGGGGTGTGCCATCATCTCCATAAAGCATCTTCTCCATTGGTGCTTCAGCTCCAACTGACCAATCATATAACAGTTATTATTAAAAATCCAAGCCCATTTTTGATGCATATGGGTCTGAAAGCAGTAAAGTGGAGGAGGATGGGATGACACAACTAAAGGACTTTGCAAGTATCTTTTTATTTGTGAATTTTAGTTATTAAATAAATACAGTATGAAACTATTAGGCTCTTTTTTTCGACAAAAGTAAAAGAAATCCTGGATTGTGGAACTGAAGCTACAGTACTGAGACAGGTTTTCAAGCATGCCTGCTGCACAGGTGGTAATCTGCCATCAGACTGCTCATCAAAGCATCTGCACAGATTCTTTTCTGTTTGAGCCCTTTGTTTTGTTTTGTTTTTCTATAAATAGCTATTTTCTTAATTTGTTTTCCTTTTATTCCCTTTTTTTCACGAGAATGAAATTCATAAATGGAACCATCAGTAAAATGAATGAATTGGCGTGTTTATACTGTAAAAGTGGTCTTGGTTCTTTTTTAAACATTGTCGATAAGTTTGATTTCTTAAAATCACCGGTTTTGTGGTTTGCTGGTTGTTTTGTTCCCTCCCCCAGTTCTGCCAAGTCCCCTCAGAGAGAGGTGGCGTTTGGCAGAACGTTCGTATTGCAAATCTGCCATCTGCTAGCTAAGGCTGCTGATGGGTGCAGTATGGAGGCCTAGATTTGCAGCTATTGAGCACTTCTGCAGTACACTAGGCTTTAAAGTAAACAAAGCGTTTTCCTGGTATGTGCTATGTTTTTATTGGTTCCTTCTCTCCTCCCACATTTATTAACTCCTTAAAGCCTCCGCTCCCCTTTATGGAATCCCATCCTTACAGACGTCCTTAACGCTTAGCAGCTGGTGTGCAGGCTCGCTTCTGTTTTGTCACAAATATGTTTGTTCCTTCCCCACTCTTTCACCCTTCTCCCTCCCCCCCTCCCCCTTTAGAGCAGCCCATTTGCCTGTCTAGACACTGGCTGTAATTCTGTGTGTATGCTCTGTATGTTTTACTCCCAGGAAGCAGGGCTGTAGATAGAATTGCAGTCCATGAGAAAAGGGTTTATTTACCTCTTAACCCCTCAGAATACAGAGCTAAAAAATGGGGGGGGAGGGAATTGGTTTTTCGGCTGCTGTCGCTGCTTCCTCATGGAAAATTTGCAAATGTTAGTCTGAAGGATTTAGCCATTGTATTTCTTTGTGTAAGGGTCACACTGAAAAGGTCTTTTTTTTTTTTTTTTCTGCATACATACTTAAGCAATCCTGCTTTGATTGTAGTAGCAAATATTCTCCTTTCCAAGGGCTAGGTCAGGACTGGAGGGCGAGGCAGAGACACCTTGGCCGCAAAGCTAAACATAGAATTTGAAAAGGTTAGACCAGTCCCTATACCCTAAAGAAAACTTGCAGGAGTCTGCCTGCTTAAGCCAGACTTGGAGCGTGTTGATCTGTTTCATGGAAGACTTGGGGGTGGAGAACATGTAAAGCTGTTTCTGGAATGAGCACCTTGCTAGTCTATGCACAGAGAGAGAATAAGGTCATGTTAAAGGGTTGGGGCAGCTAGGCAGTACGGTTCCTGCATGGTAAGTATTTTTCTAGAGTTTCTTAACCTGTCTCCTTCACTGCACAAACTCAGAATACTTCTGGCTTGATTTGGTAAAGATCATAATTGACTACTGCAGGGTTTAAATTCGTGGTGGTGTTGTTGTTGTTGCAAGTGAGAGCCTGCTAGAGCAATACTGGTGGATGGCACGCCGATTCTAAAGGAAGATCCCTCCCTGCCAAGGCTGTGTGTTATTGCGTTGGCACTCGACAACGGCTTCCTGCTACCTTTTAATAATGCAGTAAGCTTGCAGTGGAAGACAAGAATCAGCCTTTCGCTATTCCCCAGCCTGTGTTTACTGATGCAGTTCAAACCTCCACCTTGCTATGTTACTGAAGTAGGGGCACCACCGTGTGGCGTAGAAGCATTATTGTACAGTGAGTCAATTGGCTTTGTGATAGTGAGAGCTGTTAGAAGTCAAACAAATGAATTCTATTTTTACTAGCTTATTGTTTGCAGCCGAAGCGTTTGGGTGACCAGGCCAACCCTGCAAACCACGTTGCTGCTCTTTTTCTCTCATGCACTGTGAAAGGACCATCCTTTGCATTAATGGATCTTCACTGACTTTTTCACTGCTCTGTTTCTGCTTTTGAGCCTAGAATTTGAGGCATATTGAAAGCAGGTTTTTGCTGTAACATTGACCTCTATATCCTGTACTGAAAGGCTTGTTGGTACTTCAGCAATGGTAAATCACAGTACTGAATCCTGGTTATTGAGGGAAGAGGGGATCATCTTTCTTCCTTTAGAAGTGGAAGGCCTGCCACTGTTCTAAAAACCATTGCTACATCAGTTGAATGCCCTTTTCTACATACACACCAATAAGGCCCTACCCTGGCTCATCTCCTCTTTATAAATGACATGCAGATCACACTCTGTAGTTACATACATTGTAGAACTGGGAGATTACCTGCCCGAGTTTCACCCCCACCACTTCTAATCCAGATGTCTTATAGAGGGGGCCACATCACCTTCAACAGAGCTCCTGCTATATAAGAAAGTCTTATCATGCAGTAAGATGTTTACTGCTGATTTATAAGTTTACTGATCAAGTTATATCTACCTAATTTGTTGACAGACAGTAGCTAAAACCTCTCTGCTTCAACAACTAGTTATCCTGTTGTTTCAACCCCTGACCTTAAACACTTTTTTAAAGCAGATATTTTTTTCCTTTGCATTGCTTGTTCTGCTCTGATGAAGGATCAGAAGAAGTTACCAATGACTGAGACTGCTATTGGAGAGCCAGGTTCATAATAAAGTGTGTAAGTGGTGTGTATAGGGGCCCGCGGTGTGCTTGGTTCTGCACATGACAGAAAAATGAAGCCCAGAGAATCTTACAATGTAGCATGTTGGCCCTACCCCCTCTCCCTGCCTCTAGACCAGGAGTTACTGGAGACAACCGCTTCATTGTGGTGCCCAGTAGAGGCTTGTACCAGGGCCGGCGCTTCCACTAGGCGACCCTAGGCGGTCGCCTAGGGCGGCAGGATTTGGTGGGCGGCATTTTGCCACCCTCGGCGGCGGGGGGTCCTTCCGCTCCGGGTCTTCGGCAGAAATTTGGCGGCGGGTCCTTCACTCGCTCCGGGACCCGCCGCCGAAGTGCCCCGAAGACGCGGAGCGGAAGGATCCCCGCCGTCAAATGCTCAGAGGAGGAGCTGCCGCCTAGGGTGGCAAAAACCCTGGCGCCGCTCCTGGCTTGTACTATAAATTGTGAGTGTGAGAGGAACTGTTTGCACCCACTACCTCAATTCTTAGTAATAGAGGGAAACGTAACCAGTGTCTCAAAAGAGGAAGTACCTTCTGTCATGTGTGGTCAGAGCTCTGGGATCTGTCATTAGACAGCAGCAGCCTTGATGCAAAGTATATTGATTCCCTTGCCTCTGTTGCTTTAACATCTCTAATCGTTGTACTTTGGAGTTTGTGTCAATAATTCGTCGTCTTGTTTATTTAACCGGCATATCCCAGGCTACTCTTTTTTTAGTACAGCCGTACAAAGATTGTTAAACCCTATCAGAGGAGGAAGGTGTGTGTGGGGTTACGTGGGGTGTTCCCCTCCCATTTGTCGTGGTTGTGTTGGAAGGACTACGCAGGCTGCATGCTATTGTGGGCCACAGCTGCTCTTCCCTCCTCTGTTACAGTGAGTGCCAGAGAATGGGCAGTGCTTAGTGGACATCACTGCCATTCTGGTTGCCTGGTAACCAGAGAGGAGGCCTGCCAGAGGGCAAGTGGACTATGAATGAATGAATGTGAACGGTGTCCTAGCCTCTTCGTGAACAGGAGCCTGTTGGTGCCCCAACTGAAAACGTGTTGGTAGTGGCGGAGTGATCTCTTTGATCTTTATCCCTTTCCACAGGACTCTTCTGCTCTTCTTAAACAATGAGGATATTTTCCTGGGAGTCGGGGGAGCTGGGTGTCTGAGCTGTTTCTCTTGGGGTTGCCAACGCTTCAGGATTGTCCTGGAGTTTCCAGACATTAAAGATTGTCGTGTGATGAAACCTCCAGGAATATCTCCAACCAAAATTGGCAACCCTAGTTTGCCCCAAATCACTAGGATGCTTACCCATGCATTGGGAGGAGCTGCATTCGAGAACCCAGAGCATTTGAGCTAAACTGGCATGTGTCAGATCTTTACAACTTCAAGTGCCACATCTTGGGAGTTTGGTAATGGGAGATTGAGCCTTTCATCAGAAGGTGGCCAATTCAGCCCAGCCCAGGGTGGTGGCTGCTGAAAGTTACCATCAAAGGCTGTGAAGCTTATGTAAAACCAAGTTTCTGTAGCCTCAACCCAGTTTCCAATGAACAAGTACCCACATCCTGACAACCATCATCGTTGGTGCTGACGGTGCGGAGATCAAGGAATAACGATTATGGAGCCTGAGGCCTCCTCTCACTCCTAAGTGCAGTCTGTCCATTGCATGCTTTCAGCCACACTGACACAGCTGTCTTGTACCTGTACAACGTTCTGTTGCTGAATACTGGGCTTCATTTTCCAGGGCTGTCAATGGAGCACTTTCACCAGCACCAAATTCATCCACAAACAAAATATTGGTGCCGCATCACTGCAAATGATACTCGTGTCACTTCTGTTAGTTCAAATAGGACATTTAAAGTTCATGGTCCTGCTTTCCCAGTGCTGCCAGCAAAAGCCCCGTCCTGTAAAGAAACTGGATCAAACTGCAGTTTTATCTTCCTGGTTTATAAAACATCACATGGTTTAGAAAGAGCAATAATGACCTTCGGGTCAGGCTTTTCCTGGCATCCACTGACTGGCTGATTTTTGTATCAATTCCCTCCACTTCCCCAGCTGGTCATCAACTGTCAGGAAACCACAGTTGCTTGGTTTAAAACCGCTTGGACCTTTAAATGGTGTTAGTGCTGGCTGTGATACTTTCACCCCCTCCCGATACAGTGGGCTTGTGCTAGTAGTGTTCAAGGAACTCTATCAAGAAAAAAATATTCTCCTTTCTAAAAGGACCTTGAGTTCAGAGCTGAGGGCGGGGAAACAAACTGTCCTGGCACTAAAATTCAGAGTGTATTAAGCATGGGACACTGGAAATTATTTAATAAGATAGGAAATATTCTCCAGTTATCTATTCTAAACCTCAGTGACAAAAGATCTCATGCACTGTATTGCACCTAGCACATACTTCATGCCTGGAACAAGTGACCTTGTATATATTTTTAACAGGTTATAAAATATTGCTAATTTGTTTCAACGTCCAGGTAAGCAGACTTTATGTCTAGGCTGGCAACATTTCAACGTCTGCTCGTGTTTGAGAAAGCAGGCAGGATAAAATGAGATTTTAAGTAAAAGTTTGGAAAGGTTTCTTTTTCTAAATGTAAATGCCATGCAATAGAAAAGATGTCCCAGTCACTACACTCTAAAGAGAACATCCCTAACCAATATAAGGGCCAAAAATACAACACACAAGAATAATGAGAGAGAAAATTGCTGCCTGGAATCTCACAAAGAAGAGCTCCGTATAGCTCGAAAGCTTGTCTCTGTCACCCCAAAGTTGGGCCACCATGTCTCTTGAATCTCATAAAGCAGATTAAGACAATGGAAATTCAGGACCAAATAGAAACAGTTAATTCAAACCAAAATGTGTGTAGTTACAGTACTCACCTTAAAACAATTTTTGAAGTGCTCCACTTTGAATTGGTTTCTGCTGGGTCCTGAAATTTCTGCTGGTATCGGACATGTCTGTTCACTGCTGGGTCATTGAAATGGTAGCCTCCACAGAGTCAAGAGTCCCATTCAGTAATGGAGCCACTCAACTGGGGAAGGTTTTCAAAATAATTTTTAGAAACGCACTGTATGTAAAAGAAGCGATTCTTGGGAGTATTTTAACCAATCGCTACTATGGCTTTAGTGTCTGTCCTAGCTGCTACCTGTGCAGTGTCATGGATCAGTCAAAGCCAGTCACCTCCCCACCCACCCAGGAGGCCCATTTTTAGCATCTCAGAAATGCAAGTGGCAATCTGGCTCGCCCCACACTCCTTGCAGAACTTTCTCTGCTTCAAGGAATCTTTTGCAGAAGCTGAAAAACATGCTCCTATTGTCACCATAACACGTAGCCATCGATGACTTCTCAAGGAAGCACGGTCCTGCCAGGCAGCACAGCTAATCCATCGCAGGGCTAGTATAGTTTAGCTTTCCTCAGCCAGCAGTGGCTGCTACTGAAGCTTGGATCTGAGCTCATGGTGCCATAATGGTAGGCGGCAGGAGGAGCATCAAGGCCAAATGTTATCGGTAACTAGAAGACAATGGTCCGAGACATTTAAAACGATTTTTTAAATAGTTCTTTAAAATCCCTGTTCATTTTAATCATTAAGAAAAGAATTTTGGGAGAAGGGGGGTTTCCTGGCTGAAACCCAGAAGGATGATTGAAAGAACTGGGCATGTTTAGAGAAGAGAAGGCTGGGGGGGAGGAGAGGGGGCATGGTAACATCTTCAAATATGTAAAAGGTTGTTTATAAAGAGGACAGTGATCAATTATTCTCCACGTCCACTGAGGGCAGGACAAGAAGCAATCGGCTTAGTTTGCACTCAGGAAGATTTAGGTTCAATATTAGGAAAAGCTTTCTAACTCGAAGGCTAGTTAAGCTCTGGAATAGGTTACCAAGGGAGGTTGTGGGATCCCTGCCATTGGAGGCTTTTAAGAACAGTTTAGACAAATTCCTGCCAGGAATGGTGTATATCTACTTGGTTCCTGCTTCAATGGGGAGATGGAGCAGAGAAGACCTCTTGAGGTCCCATCCAGGCCTACATTTCTGTGAGTCTCTGGGTGAAGTGTCAAGATTCACAGTATCTCGGGGGTTTATGAAATATGGGGATGAAGAACTTGCTGTTGGTGCTCTGGTGGACTAGGGCTAGCACTGACTAGCGGCAGTAGATTCAGTTTCTCTGCATCTGTCACCTCTATAAAATACATGTCACTCACTGTTGCTTGAGAATTGCTTTGTTTACAGGCAGAGTCCTCCAAAGAGGAGACTTGCACTCTGCAGTGCCGTGTCCCGGGTTGTGCATCAAACCCATTTACAAAGCCAGTAACAGCGATGCAGGGGCCAGCATGAAAAGCCTGATTTAATTTTTGGTTCCACTGACGCTAGAGTCTTAGAAGAACCTGAAGAGGTCAGGTTTAGAGGATGTGTGTGATGCTACATTGGAAAGGATGCAAGAGACTTTATGGTGAGTGCATAACAATCATGAGAATTTTATTTCCATAGTAGAGGAAAATAGTGACTGTCCACAGTCTGTTTCCATGGTGTGAAGGTAGCTTCTATCGTGATTGGCAGACAAGGTACAGTTGTGTGTTACTGAAGACGGAGAGCAAGGATCAAATGCAAGCAGCTTTATTCTGAGTGCAGGGAGTGTTACTTCTCTCCCTGATCACCGCATTGCTCAAGGAGTTCATGTCATCGGTGTCTTCTCTTGTGATGGGGAGCAGATGATTTTGAAATGGCCATCCTCAGGGGTGGGGATAGCCCCAGCACTTCCTGTGCTGGATATCCCAGCCTGCGAGGCAGTAGCCCTTGTTCCAGGACGATAGACGGAGCTGTGACATGCTTTAGTCTCCTGCATGGCAGGCCCTTGTTCAGGGAAGCAGAAGCCACAGGTTTCCACAGGCTCTGGTAGTCTGCTCCCAATGGAGCCGCCTCCAACGCTCCCCGCTTCCACTAAGTGATCTGTAAAGACACAACCTGTATTAGAGCGAAGGCTCCCACGGGGCAGGTGCCACATCTTTGTAGGAGGCTGGCTCGTGTCTTCCTCCCCTTCCATGTGTGATCCTGGATGGAGAGCCACCTCCTTCCTGACCACACAGCAGCCCTGTGACTACAGATACTGCTGACTAGGAGGGGCAGTATTAGGAAAAGGCCATGTACTATTGGCTTCTTTAAATGAGATTTAACAGCTAGGAGCAAGGAGAGCCAGTGCCATGTGATGCTCTGTCGAACACCAATGGATGGGAGAATGTACAGGGCTAGTCCTAGGACTGGATAGGACATCCATTTCCTGCCCTGCCTGAACCAAAGCCTGTTGCGTAGTATGTGTCCTGTTGCCTTTGAACAAACTGAGGGCTAACCCCAGTACCTTGGCTTTGTGTAGAGATGTAGAACTCAAGGAAAGCCAGATCTCTGCTGAGGGGGCTGAATCAAGTCATATAGTCCCAAATACAGGTGGGTGGCAGTGGTGATGGGGGTTATTACAACACTACTAGGAACAGAAATAACTTTGATACTTTAAAAAAAAAAAATAGTTGTACTGCCCTTTGATTGGCCATTCCCGCTGCTGAGTGTTCAGCTTGAAAACTGCAGCATTGAGAGAAACCGAATTAGGTCCTGAAAGTGCAAGCGACTGGCCTCTAGGTCCATTGTCCAAATGGAGTGAAACGCAAGAAACCGCCCCACAGCTGGAAGAATTCTAAAAATGAGACGGGTAGAGCATTCCGTTTTCATCACCTAGGGTCGTCTTAGTATTCTTACTATTTGTTGTTCTGAAAATACAATAAATCATTTTCCAACCTGAGGGAGGCCCTTTAAAATCAATCCCCGGTGCCACAGTGTCCTCAGACAAATGCTGATAGGAACAGTTTTAAGTTACGTTTCTGCACTGAAAAGTGACCCATTAGGTTGCATGTTTGATTTTCCATATCGACGAGATGGAAGGGAGAGACCATCAATCTTTGGTTCTTATCTGGCCCCCATCACTGGTGCATCTGAGGACCTCATGGTCTTTTTAATTAATGTATCCTCACATCACCGCTGTGAGGCAGGGCAGAGCTGTTATCCCCATTGTACAGATGGGGAACTAAGGCACAGAGAACAGGGCCCAGATCATCTTAAGGCAATGGTTTTCAAACTGTGGGTCGGGACCCCAAAGGGGATCATAACCCCATTTTAATGGGGTCGCCAGGGCTGGCCTAGACTTGCTGGGGCCCGGGCCGAAGCCCAAGCCCCACCTCCTGGGGCCAAAGCTCGAGGGCTTCAACTTTGGCCCCCCGACCTGGGGAAGTGGACTCAGGCTTTGCCCCACCCCCGAGCAGTGGGACTTGGGCTTTGGCCCCCCTGCCTGGGGCATCAGGGCTCAAGTGGGCTCAGGCTTTGGTCCCCACTCCTGAGGTTGTGTAGTAATATGTCAGAAGGGGGTCGCGGTGCAGTGAAGTTTGAGAACTCCTGGGCTACTCACATTGCAATCAGTCGGAGTTAGGGCTCAGATATGAAAAGGTCAGCGCTCACCGTCGCAACACCTAGCTGATTTAAGAGCCTAGATCTCATTTTGAAAAGGAATTTGGGCACTGAGAGGTCTAAATCCCATTGGCTGTTGCTGAGCACAACACCTAAATATCTTTAACAATCTGGCCCAAGGTCACACAAGAAGTCTGTGGCACAGCAGGGAATGGAACTGGGTCTCCTGAGTCCCAGGCTAGCATGGGATCCTAAATTACCATCAATCTGGTCCCGGAGGAGAACTGTTTTCAATTTTCTTTTCCTTTCCCTGCCCTCGGGCGGCTCTCCCTAGTCTGTGTTTTCTCTCTCTCGTTCAGCTGCTTACTCCCCAGGACAGGGACCTGCCCGTCCTGTGTATCGCCAGGCCATCAGGAACCAAAATGGCGCTATTTATACAGAGTATTTTTCAAAGCAAGGGCCCACCTGCCTGTAAGCAGGCTGGTCTCTGCTCAGCCAAAGCCACATGCAAGTCTTTAGGGCCTGGGCCTGGATCTGCCTGTGAAGCCCCTGATATTCAGCCTGTGGAGTGGCTGGCCCAGCCAGCCCTTAATGAGCAAGTGGGAAGCCAAATCACTGCCCTGACCAAACGAACACAGACCTGTGATCATTATCAAGGACTGTCAGCCCTGTTTCTTGATTGGCTGGCTGATTAATTAGAGACACTTATTCTTTACTACCCCTCATCCCTGGGATTTCACCAGCTGCCTCCTAGCCCTAGCCAGCCTGAGGAGGGAGACCAGGACTGCTAGTCAGTGGCTACACAGCTCTGCTCCTTTGAACAGCAATGCACAGTCCAGCCTGGCAGTTGAGGTTCTAGTCCCACCTCTGCCATGGACTTAAGAGCTCTCTGGATCTTGTTTCTCCAGCTGTAAAATGAACCTCACATAAATGATGTTTAATGTTCCTGAAGTGCTTTGAGATCATCAGGTGCCTGGTGCTTTAGAAGAGCAAAGCACTGTGTATTAGCTTGATTATTCCTAGACAGCAGGCTACGCTTTAGGTGCCAATTCTTGCTTTCATGCCTGCTCTTGTACAATTTAAAATATAGCTACAAGCAGCGAGCGGCCGTGGAACGGGAGGATTGCAGCAGGATTGTACGGCAGCTGCAGGCCTGGGGAGCCTGAAACAGTGATGGCTTGGCTTGCACAGTTCAGCTGACAAGCATTTCTGTGGCAGCTGTCCCAGGCGTGCCACAAACCACCTTGTGCCCATTCTGAAGAGTCTTCTCTTTACCTGTGGTTGCACTTTGGTAACTGAACGCTGGTGACTGGATCATGTCCTATGCTAATGGCCTCTTTAATAGACATTAGCAGTTCAAAGGGCTCCAGAGAGTAGCTTGCATTAAACGCCCAAGATCTCAAAGCCTTTACCAAGGTGGGTGTACAGCAATAACGGAGGTACAGAGAGTCTGCATCTTGGCTAAGATCATGCACCAAGCCAACGTCAGAACCAGGATTAGGCCTAGATCTGTATACAGACGTGGCCCGCAGAGCGGTAGTGTCTGAGCACCTCACAGCCATTAATAAATGCATCTGTGTAACAACCAGTCTGAGGTGAGGAAGTTTACAGGTGGGGCTCTAGGGCCCTGAGATTGGGACTTGCCCAAATTCACACAGGGACTCTGCGGCAGAGTCATGAATTGAGAGACAGGTGCTGGTCTCAGTCCATTACTTTAACCACATGACCATCTTCCCTGGTCTCTAGGCTCTTGGGTTCACGACTAATCCATTGGCCTGTTCTGCTAGGGAACATTCTTGAACGTAGTTCTGGGTTCAATTCTCTGGCCTGTGCTTGGCAGGTCAGACTAGATGATCAGAATGGGTCCCTTCTGGCCTTCCCCTCTGTGAGCAAGAACTTTTCAGAGGCTCACGAAGAGATGCACTTAGGGGACGGGTGAGAGAACTCTGCATTAGGCTCCCAGGACTGACCCGTGCCCAGAAACATTCTCCGCTCCTGAGAAGCCGCGCACACCCTTCAGTGGCCTGCCTGGTTTGCAGCTGTGTGACATACTGAGATAGGCACAAGAACTCAGGCCTGTGCCCTAGGAAGGACAGTGCTCTGTCCTTGGTACCCTCCTCCTCCTTTCCTCTAGGGTACATGACTAAGAGCTTAGTCACTTCTTTCCTCCCTTTGGGGCACGGGATAGCAGCCCGAGAGCACCGGTTCATCCTATAACCATTCCACTGGCCGGTAGCAGGTGTGGAACACTGTCCTCTTCCCAGCCAGAGAGACTGCGACGGCACGTTCTTTGGTGTCTGAATCTATCTCCCAGCTCCAGTGTGTTGCTAGGTACTTCTAGCCATTCACAATCTCCCCCTTTGACTCCGTCCCGTAACCTCTCTCTTTTCTCCAGCAGCTGGTACTTACCTTTTGAGGAGTCCTCCCTCTTGTGGCAGGTCCCAGGGGTGGGCTGGCAGGAGACCTCCGCTCCCCTCCTTTTGAAGTGGGTCCAGCCCACCAGCAAAGAGCAGATCACGGTGCAAAGGCAGAGCGCCAGCAGCAGGTAGACAACCAGCCATTGGTCCTGATCACTGCCTAGCTTCTGCTCCAGAGCAGCCATTCTGGATGAGGTAGTTACCAGTTTATCTGAAAGTCAAACATAGCCACGTCCATGTTGTCCAGTGCAGGGCGGGAAGGGGTTCATTGCCCTGGGGATACAGCAGTCAGATGAAGACTCTGAACCTGCCTTGGAAACATTCCCTTGTCTGCAGGGGTGTCCCCTCCCATGGGGCAAGTGGAGCAGCCCTTGTGCTGTTCAGCTTCGCCCCCTCTCTATGTAAGCACCTTGGCAAGGCTCTTCCTCCCCCCACGGGGTGTAATTCTTGAGGATATGGAGAAGTTCCCCACCCCCACCCCAAGGCAGCACAGCGAGGTGAGAAGCACCACAGCATGATAGATCCAGCAAACAATAGTGCAAAACAAAGAAACCGTACAAAGGAGGAGAGGGAAACACAGTTCCTGGCAGGAGATTGAGAGCCAAGGGCAGATAGCACAGGCTGGGGGAAGAGCATATCCTGGTATTTCCTTCCCCACCTTCCTAGAGAAGCTAATACAGTCTAATCAAAGGCTCCTGAGAGGGCTTGGGGTCAGCTGACATCTGCCCAGAGCAAGGGACAGAAGTTGCACCTACACATCCTCCTACCTTAGCCCTCAGGTTTGAATGTCCCCAAAGCAAAGCTTGCATGAGCACGGAGCCTGCATCCCACCCTCCCCGAGCGCGCTTGCCAGGGCCCTTGGCCGGGTGCATCCTGCAGCCTTACTCTCACAGAACTGGAGACACTGGCTTGGGTGCTGCCCACAGATGCCCGAGCAGTTGATGCATCTTCTCAAGAGCTCGTCGTAGTAGTAGCCGGGTCGCTTGCTGCATTCCATTGACACTGGAAAGTGGAGGGGAGAGAGAAACACATCCCGCTCAATACGTCACGAGAGGAACCGCTGCTGTGGGAGAGGCTAGAGCTACGCGCTGGGGCCTGCTTACAGGGGCTGGGGCAGCCTTGGTATCAGAGCAGGACCAGTGCTGCCAGTTTTGTCAGGAGTGTTTTTTCCTAAAGCCCCAGCATGGGAAGACAGGAACATCTAATAAAGTAAAGGCCTAGGCCTCGTGAGGCAGAGAACAGCCTGAAACTGTGAGCCCAGGATGACCTCGGAGATTAAAAACCTGAAGGCAGAAGAAAAATCTTCCAAAGGTTTTGTTTTTAGAGTCCTAGAGTTTAAGGCCAGAAGGGTCTACCACATCATCCTGTATATCACTGGCCGAAGCCCTCCCAGCATCTACACACTAAACCCCAAACCAGAATTAGACCTAAGTAGTGCAGTCCTCAGCAGCATAAACTCTTCTGTGCCACAGGCAGAGAATGGGAGGGGCTGAGGAGAGCCCCCCCGGTCTGAGACGTCACTGTTTAGTTAATAACCAGGTGCTATCACCTGGTGCAGTATGGGAAATCTGCCCTGGGGGTGGCCCATCCAACCGCAGGTGCTGGTGAGCTCAGGGCCCCCTGCCCCCTCACTGGAACCTGTGGGCTGCTGATTATCGTTCTAGTTTTAAGATGCAGATCTCACAGAGCGAGCCTCCTCCCTCCACAGAGGAGGGGTGAGCAGCTGCGGGGGTCTGCAATGAACTGGCCCTGAGAAGGGGGATCAGCTGGAGCTGTGGGAGAAGGAGCAGAGCTCCTACAAACTGGTTCCTGGGGCATGCTGGGACTGGCCACAAGGAAGAGTGGCTGGGCCAACCATGCAGGGAGCGGGGGTGGCTGTCGCATTTCCCCAACCGTTCTGGCTTCAGATACTTGTCTGACAAAACTACTCAGTTGAAGCCAATGCAGAGCTTTGACTGAGATTTTTCCAAGTGCCCGTTAGAAGCTGGACTTCACTAGCGCCCCCGTTGCTAACTACTCCTTCAGAACTGCCCTACCAGCGTATTGGCCCCCAGCCTCCCTGTTTCCCTCAGCGGGAAGGCACTGGCGCCCAGGGGTGGGGGCTGAGTTCCTGTGTGTTATCCAAGAGCCTCTACACCCAGCCCTTTGCAGTGTCACGCTGGTAAAGTCCTTCAGCCAAGTCACCTCCCTGTTGCAGTCCAGTGGGATAATACAAACGTCTGAAGACAAATGCACCCACATGCCAAACATGGTGCAGCGCCCAGTATGCGCGCGTGGCTGGCCGGCCAGCTCCCTAGGCACTCACCGCAGAAGGTAGTGCATCTCTCCACACTGGGCCGATTACATGCAACTCTGCAGGAGATGCATTGGCACAGGAGGTTGTCCCAGTACTGCTGCTCTGTGCAATTGGTCATGGCCTTCCACCTTGGGCACATCAAAAGCCTGTCTGCAAAACAGAAGGGAAGGGGCGGGGGGAGATCTGAAGACACTCCAAACCTGGCAGCCTTGAGTGATGGAGAGGAGCTACCTGGTTGCTTAGCACGGAGTGTGTTTGAGCAGTGGACATATTCTCCTGCATGGGCCTTAGGGACGAACATGTGCCCGTCCCTTGCGTGCCCTAAGCCGCCAGCCGGGCGTTTGTCAAGGCTGTAAGACTGGACAAAAGGAGTGTTCTTGGGGAGTTGTTCCAGAGTCTCAGATCAACTGAGGGCCTGGAGCTGCAACCACCCATCCCCAACCTTTGCTTCTTCTTCCAAGGACAGTCCAGGCTGTGACACTGGGGAGAACGTCCTGATTCCCATGGCAAACCCTTCCTATTCCCATCCTCCTCGGGATTTAGATGAGAAGGGCCCGGAATCACACAAGTAGTTAGGCACCTACTTTCCATTGATTTCAGTGGCATGGTGCCATGCCTCCCTTGCTCCACTTTGTGAGCTGCAGTGTGTGTGTGAGAGAGTGAGTGAGAGAGAGAGGCTTTTCGTCAGTGTGTGTGAGAGAATGGCTTTTCGTCAGATATGATTGAACAAGTGCAGAAAGGGCTAAGCTGCCAGAAGAAAAGGTCAGGCATGATGAAGATGTGAAATTTACAAATAGGAAGGGCTTGGCAGACAACCGTGTTCAAGTGAGACACAACCAGACATGCACTTTTGTATCACTGGGCCCCCATCAAGCTGCTCTAATGCAGGAGGCCTTGGTCTGTGCTGCAAATGCAGCTGCTTCCAGGGGACCCAACCAAGGGCAGAACCGGGGCTGTGGATCTGACCAACGAGCTCCCAGCAGCGCTGCCAAACAGACCTGGGTTTTGATCACATCCAGGGTCAGCTAGCTGAGAAGTGGGGTCCTGGACCCAGCTGCATTTGCGGTATCGAGGAGGCCTAGATCAACGCGTCTGCTTACCTGTAAAGGTAACAGACCCAAGGCTAAGGGCAATGAGCTTGCTGGTGTGCCCTGCGACTTCCAGGAGCTTCCCCTTCTAAGGTGCTTGAGGCCTGATTCTCCGCACCATGCGCCTTGGGGTGCCCGTTACATCAGAGACAAGTGGATGTAAAATGCTCCCATTCTGACAGGGTGGAGTATGACCCCTGCTTTGCACAACTATAAATAACTGCACAAGGTGAAAGGCAGCGGAGAATCTGACCGGATCGTCTTCAATGACAAATACAGTTGTTCACATTCATACTGGAAATTGTTTCTGCTTAAATAGAGAATGGCCAAGGAGCTGCTCTCCAGAGCGGGCTTGGGCTCAGGGGGCCTCTGCTCTCATCAGCTCTTCTGGCAAGAAGCTGCCACCAAAGAGCAGACGCTGAGGGTTTGAGGAGAATTCTGCCATCCTGAACGGGACAGGGACGAGGACTGGATGGTGCCACGTGGGCCTGAGATTGCCCATGTGCTTGCGAGATCAGACCGGAACCTAGGCCCCAGCCGGAACATGAAGCCAAAACCGCATGGGTGATTCCGGATGCCGCAAGCTGATCCCAAGCCCCCTGGATCTTTGGAAAGGGTTTGGCTCTGAGGTTGTGGGTTTGGCCCATAGTTGCTGTTCTAGTGCCTGTCTTTGATCTTTTCTCACCCAGGTGAGGTCCTCGGCAATAACAAAAGCGCGGCTTCTGGTCTGACCTGCCTGGCAGCACAGCTGGGGTTTTCAGTGGTGCAGCCACCCAGCAGCGCTCAGCACCTCCTCCCTCCCTGGCCGGGGACTGGGGCTTCCAGCATTCACAACACCCAGGCTGCAAACAGCTGCTTGTAACACACAACTCTAGAAACCTGCTGAGTTCTTGTGGCCTGAGGGGGGCCTTTGACAGGATCTGCACCATGGTAACTACCACCCTGTCTCAGGCAGAGCACTAGGGCCCCATTCTCCAGTAGCCGAGCTGGGGGTGGAACCCAGGACGCCTGACTCCTCATCTCCTCTATCAGCCAGTCGCCAAGGGTCCAAATCTTTCCACGCTCACTGGGTGCTAGGTACTCGAGGGTTTGAAAGAGGCACTCGCAGCACATGGGCCTTAGCACTGTGTTAACAACCCCTCGGCGCAGGCACTGAGCCCGATCCAGCCTGGCCATGTGCGGCAGGGTGGCACCGTCCTGCCCTCTCTTGAAGAAGAGACGTTAAAGGGCAGAGCTGTGGACGAGCAGAGGCTAACTTTCCCCTCCCATCTCTTGTATAGAAGCTCAGCCTGAGTGCATTCTCCCCCAGCCTCCCGAGGGAGCAGTAGGTGGGTTTTCAAAATGGCAGTGGAGTATGCACGCAGTTAAATTAAAGGCTACCAAGCAAATGAGGCAGCAGGAGATCGTACCAGCCACATACCTCCCCGCCTACCCCATGGCAGCAAACTCTGCTGTCTTCTGCCCACTCCAATCCCAGCCCACTCCCCTCACCCGTCCTTGCTGCCTAATAAAAGAGTGGGCAGGATACTCACCCTCAGTCTCGTCTCAGGCCAAGTCTAGTCTGCCCCAGCTCCTGCCATCTCACTGTGAGCTCCAGCCCCTGAGCCTGCTCATTACTCATGAGGTTTATTATTAGAGTTAGATTTGATTAGAGGCTGGGCTGTGTGTTTCCTGGGGTTTCCCCCCGCATTCTTTCTATGCAAATTAACCTGACATGCGAATGATCGAGTTGACTCTGGTGGGGCATCCCTGGGCCAGATGTGCAGCGGCCACAGAACCCCGGCAGGTCTTGGCTTGGCGCCGTGTTGCGGTGGGTGTGAAAACGCCAGGAAGAGAGCGGATGCAGCAGCCACAACTTCATCAATGGAATTCTGCCGCAAGGCGCCTCCGGCACATGGGCATGGTGGTATCCCAGAGTCGCTAATTCATGGAAAACAGCTCAGCTGAACCAGCAGGGGCCTCCTGTGGGAGGCACATCAACTACCCTAGCATCTCCGTGGGTGTCTATCCATGCTCTGCTCCCCCTGGGTCAGGAACCAAACATGCAACGAAGAGAAAACAGGAGAGTTTTTTCCTTTAGGAGATTCTCTTCACCCCCTGCCCCCGGCAGGGGTGGGAATGCGGGGGAGAGGTTTCTTCCCCCACCTTACAAGAAAAAATGTCTCCAACTAAAATTACCGCAGAATAGTGCATCTTTAAAAGACACCAAAAGGGGGAAGGTCTTGCTAGGTGAAGCACACTGTGCAGCAGGTCTATGTAGTTGGTGCTGATCAGGTTGTATTCCAGTGCAGAGAATTGGTACGCTGAGGCCTTGTGAGTGCTGGGAATGTTTCTCTACACTCTCCTATGTTTGCTACCTCTGGTCCAGCGTCACCTGTGGGCATCAGATTTTCCAGTGCTCCATGCCCCCAGTTGCAGCCAGATTTTCAGCAGAGCTCAGCATCCACCGGGCCACTGACTTGGGAGCCTAAATAGGAGCTCAGCTCTTTTGACAATCCAGCCTATGAAGCAGGGCTGGAAAGAGCTGCCAGAGGAAGCCATTTGCAATGCACAAGAAGTTTTACTGGTCCTACAGAACCCACGAATGATGCTACATGTACCTGAGCACCAATTCCTGGCATGTTAGTAACTCACAATTTCCCTAGGTGCAGACACAAGGCACTCCCCTAACAAGCCCTGGTTGTGGATGCTGAGTTCTGGTGAAAATCTGGTCCATAACGTAGACAAAGTGCCAGCCACCACCACCATGATAGGAGTTATGGAGTGTAAGGCCAGAAATATAACAGGCCACCGCCACCACCTGCCCACTAAACCCAGCAGCTGAAATCAGACCAAAGTATTTCAGCTTGCAGGGGACTAGATTATTATATGTCACCAGCAGAGAACAGGAGGGACCGAGGCCCCCACAATGGCAGGGGAATGATTAAGTGAGATATATCCAGCTAATCCCGGCACGTGACCCACACACAAGAAAACCCAAGTTCAAGGCCAATATGAGCTGGGGGAAATTCCTGCTTGACTCCACATAGGGCAAACAGTTAGACCCTGAGCGTGTTTGCAAGAACCAGCCAGCCAAGCAACTGAGACAGAGAGTCCTCGGGGGCACCTCAGAGCCCTGGCCCTCTCCCCCCAAAGACCCAGCTCCAGCCGTGGCCAGCCCTGATGCTGCAGAGGAAGAAGGTCAAACAAAACCAAATAGGTTGGGGAGAATCCCTCCCTGGCCCTTAAGCACTGTACTGTGAAAACGGTGTAATCGAATGTTGGTCAGGGAAGGGCTACGTAAAGTGGTATTTATGTCCCGTGTTACCCGCTCAATTTAGGGCACCCCGCCTACACCCTACCGAGGGCTCAAGGCGTGACCCAATCAATTTAGTCACCCCCACCCTTTCCCTTCCGAGGGCTCAGGGGGTCAGGCACCTATCCTTACCCACGGGGCTCAGGAAGAAACCTGGTCAATTTAAGTACCAGCCCTTTGGCTCAGGGCTCTATGGGTCGGCGGAATCTTTTCCCAGTGAAAGAGCCTGACGCATTAGCAACACACACAATACGCATACCAAGCAAATCTCTTCTGCTCACCGCTCCCAATATACAGACAAATTTCACCCGATGGCCAGTCAGGGATTCATTCATCGGGGGGCTCCCGGCGATGCCTCTGGACGTCACGGTCGTGCAGAAGGGTCCGAGTTCCAGCAGCTTGATGATGTCCTGCAGGGCGGAAATGGTTCCCAGAGAGCATTGGGTTTTCATTTACATTCTATAGGAAAAACGAGCTCCCTCCTTCAAATGTACTAACCCGATCACATTATCCCACACGCCTAAATAACAAACATTTCACCAGTTACGTGCTGGCCCCTCTGTGTCCTCCTTCCGGCCCACATTTTTTACATTTTATCTTTCATGCCCAAATTGTCACTTAGTTGTGACCTTCTCTGCTCATGCAGATGGTCAGCATTAAAATGCTGGTCAGAGTTTATCTTACCGTTTATTTAGTCTCTTTCTGTGTCCTCCTAATTTCCCAGCGCCTGGGCGTCTCTACAACCTTGGTGGTTATAACTCTCTAGGGACGTTCCTGAGGTGGGGGTGCTTTAGCAGCAGCCGAACAATCTTTTTTTCAGTTTTAATGGTGAACTCCCTGAATTTCACCCAAAGCTGGTTTAATATTGGGGGGGAGGGGGGGGGTTGATCAGGTCTCAGGCCTACAGCTGCACCTTGTCTGTTGTGCTTCCACTGCTGTTACACTAGCTGCTTTGCCCTGGTGGTAGCAATTGTGGACAACTTTTGGCACGAAAGAAAAAGCCCTTGTGTAAACATATAAACACCCCCTAAGGCTCAGTATTAAGACCTCACCGGGTTACAGCCTCTATCCAGCGTGCTGTGCACTCACCTGACGTGACTGACAGCATGCTCTTGTGTTGAACATGGGCTGAATTTGGGGGCTAAGCATGACTCCAGTTCCATAGGCAGGCGAGGACCCTGCCGATGATCAGTCCAGGACATCACGTTCCCTTCTGAATTCCTGACTGGACGGAAAGAAGGTGAGAAAAGGATGAGACCATGTTTGTACCATGTACCATTAGATAGACACAAACATCCTTCTCCACAGTCCACCTGCTGAGCTCCAGGTGCTTTACAAACACTGAGCCACTCAGCACCTCGCGGAAGTAGGGAAGTTTAGTCCCATTTTATAGCCGGGGAAGCTGAGGTACATGTAATGCATTTGTTTCTCTGCATCGGTAGAACCTGTAAACACTCTTTCCTCCCCAGGGAGTTTAGGTAAAAAGGAACAGAAGCCAGGAAAGGGTTAATGAAACGGAGAGGGGCTTAATTGGGACAGCCTAGGTACACCTGGGGAAGGGGTGTGTCTGTGAGGGCAGGCCCAGACAGAAGGAAGCCCTCAGAGTAGTGTTGGGGTGAGGAAGCCTGGCACAGCACAGCATGGCCTGGCCTGGGTGGCCGGAGGTGAAGGCCCCAGCGTCAGCAGGAAGCCTGAAGGAGGCTGGAAAACCTGCAAAGCCTGAGCGAGGCCAGGAGGAAAACCTGCAGCTGAGCCCAAGAGAGCCAGCAAGGAGCCAAGAGGCTGTTGCTTGGGGGAGCCTGCAACAGGGCTTTGGTGGGATGTCAACCCGAGTGGGACGTGTTGGGATGAGTTTGTTGTGGGGGAAGTCCTGAGGGCCTGAAGCTAGTGTGAATGACAATGCTGATGCATCTATTTTGGACATGGGACTTTACTACCCGGGAAGTGGGGGGACTATATGTGACCTGGCCGGAGAGCTGAATCACGAGAAGTCGACCGTCCGCAGGGCCAGCGCAGCTGTTGCCAGGGGGCGCCAGATGAGGAGAACCTGCTATGCCACGCCTGGCCCCAAGGAGGCACGCCAGCCGGTGAGTCACTTCTGAATCTGCCAGTGTTAGAGACTCCCAATAATACTGCCGCACAGAAAGGGGCTGACTTGCCCAAGCCACACAGCCATCTCCCTTGGTGCCAAGCCTCGTGCTTTAACCATGAGACAGCGCTTCTTGTCCCCGTCGTTGTCATCGACAGGTCTGCAGAGCCACAGCAGCTTTGTTATCTCAGCAAAATGAGCTGCCCGGCCCGGATTCCAGGGTTGCCGATGGCTGGTGATGTACAAAGCACGAAGAACACAGCTTGATTTTTTCAGAGCAAGTCCCACTGGCACTGCTGGCAGCCTGAAAAATCTTACTTGGCCTTGTAAATGGAGCGAGTTTGATCAGCAAATCGCTGAAGGAGCATAAATGTGGAACCCCATGAGGCCATTTTCACAGAGGGGTTTTTCAGGCCGTGACTATGTTTAAAACTCCTTCCTTAATATGGCCTGTGCAAGCGAGCCGAGCCGGGCAGCTTCTGCATTAGATGTGCTAATGCAATGTGTAAATACGGCGTTGGATGCAGAGGCGTTTTTCACTCACTAAGCTGCTGACTGCTTGACCCCCTGAAATCACCCCACATAGGACTTGTGTCGTGTTAATGACAAGCGATTGTGACAAGTCTACAAACCATCTAGCTTTGGGCTGGCGGTGTTGTTCCCTGAATAATTCAACCCCTCCAGCCCAGCTAATCAGCTGGGAAAAGGTGCAGTGATGCGACAGGTTTCTTTGGTGAGGCAGCAGGGGGCTCTTAGAAACCAGTGAACTGGGAGTTGACTCAGCCGGGCGGGCGGCAGTTCAGCGAGTGGTGTGTGTGGGACAGTTTCTGCGGGGTGTGAAGCAGCATCTCTAGGGGGAGTGAAGGTATTTTCCCTACTCGCTTCAAAACTCCTACTCTGCATGTAACCTTTGTGACGTGTGTTTAACCTCAGCTAAGCTGGCATTCCTGGCAGTAGCATAGTTGAGGGGAAACGGGTAAGCGGAGTTTACCCACTTCTCATTTGGGGAATACACCACAGATCCTGAGTTTCACTTCTGAGCCATTAGT